TTCCCTACTGCTTTAAATTTTATGTTAACTTTACAACCTAGTTGTATTTACTAAGGTGTGAATTGGATAATGTCTTTAGATATCAAGATTGTTTTAATATAATGATGCTGTTTTAGGATGATGATACAGCAGATCAAGGAGTTATCTCTGCCAATACCTCAAATTTGGATGATTTCTACCCAGTAGAAGACACCAAACAAAATGCAAATAACACTAGAGGAAATACCAATAAAACACAGAAAGATGCTGGAGTACATGAAAAGGCAAGGTATGTTAAGCTTCTGGCTTTCAGGTCATAAAAGTTTAGTGCCTATTAGAGAGAAGGTACTCCGCTAGGTACTGTATTACATCGTGCTTAATGCTATTATCAGATTTACTGGAGTCCACAAATATAATGTCAATTTAATTATAGAGAGAAATTTTATGAGGCTAAACTACAGCAGCAACAGAGAGAGCTCAAACAATTGCAGGAAGAAAGAAAGAAACTGATTGAGATTCAAGAGAAAATTCAAGCATTGCAAAAGGCATGTCCTGACCTACAGGTAATTAGGAAATTTCTTTCTTTCTGTTTGTCTGAAGAAAGATATTTAAAATCTTAATGTCAACTGAAAGTACTCTTTGTCTTTTTTTAGTGCTAATTTGATAGATTTATATCTTAATTTTATGATTAATGAAATGGATGGGAAAATGAAATGTGTTAAGGATGTACATTTATACTGTGAAAGGTAGCACGTAGGAATTGACTCTAATTATTCCCATTCTTTCACTTGTTGGGCTGGCTGGCTGTGGATTCAGAACATGAGTGTTTATAAGTATGTATTATATTAAAATATTCTGGTTTGAACTTGGCAGTTAAGGGACTAGCATTTCCATTTTTTACTGGCCTAAAATTACATAATAAAGCTGTTAAGCCATCATGAGTTTTTTAGGGAAATTGAAATATTGTTTTTGTAGTTTGAATATTAAATGTATATATGCTTATTAAATAGTACCCTATGCATGGGTTTTTGAGTTGAACAGAGAATGTGCAGTCTTTGACCATGTCAGGTAATCAGGAGGAGGGTTAATTTGGGAGGGGAATATCAATTCTTTTTTGAGATTTTTCCTACACTTTATTGGTTAGCTCTATTCTTCAGTCAGGTTTTGTTTTCAAAGAAAGGGAAACATATCAGGTGATATTTCTAATATAACTTTATTTTCTAGACGCTTACCTTTTCTACTTTATCTAATCCTTTTTTTCTCATTCCCAATCTAAATAATGTGCAGAAGAATATGTCGGAGTTGGGTTGAGTATGTGAAATTTTCCACAGTAACATTTTATCCCTCATGTCTCTGTTGTTTTGGAGGGTTGGTTACTACTGTTCAACTTTAGCCTGTGTTTTCATCTTTGTTTGCTTATGTCAGGTTTTCTTTAGATCATGATGGCAATTGAAATCTGGTGGTAATAAATTAAATATGATACTAGAGCCCTAGAGAAGCAGTGAAATAATTGCTTTTACGAAATTAATATAATTGCTTTAATTCCTCATAATAGTTTTAATTCTTTTTTAGCTGTCAGCCACTAGTGCGGGTAATTGTCCCACAAAAAAATGTATGCCAGCTGTTACTTCAACCCCAACTGTTAATGAAAATGAAGCCAGTACAAGCAGATCTGCTTTTGAACCTGATGATTCTTCAGTGGTAGATAATGAGGTATGTTGTACCTTGTTCCTGGGTCTTAAGGAAGAAAACTGAATATCTGTGAAACATGTTTTTAAATGTAGCCTATTATGTGTGTTTTAGTTGTGGGAAGAAATAACTTTTTCCAAAAAGTAATTAAGTTGGTATATTTTCAAAATAGCCTTGCCCTTTATTAGCAAATATTTGGCAGAATTATATGTAAGGGTTAGTTATAGTAAATAGTAATCATTTCAATTAGAAAAACCTGTCCTTTGGCATTTTATTTATATGGGATTTATAGAAAACATTGTAACTTCCTTTTAATAGTTGATAAAGTATACTTGGGTGCTACCTGTTTTCATAAAGAATTAATGATTGCCTAATTTTTTCTTATTACTAAAATATCATTTTGACCTTCTTGGGTGTCTCAGTGTAAAAAGGTTAGAGTGAGAATAGAAATATTTGTTGGTATTGACAGTAGTATTAGGCTGTTTTTCTTTAAGGCTAAAACAAGTCCAGATATTTACACTAACTTGACTTAATTTTTAAAATAACAGTTGTGGTCAGAAATGCGAAGACACGAAATGTTAAGGGAAGAGCTGCGACAGAGAAGAAAGCAGCTTGAAGCTTTGATGGCTGAACATCAGAGGAGGCAAGGTCTGGCTGAAACTACATCTCCAGTGGCTGTTTCACTGAGAAGTGATGGGTCTGAGAACCTGTGTACGCCTCAACAGAGTAGAACGGAAAAGTAAGAGAGCTGTTTAAATCATTTTTTAAAATATCACCTACTTACGGCCTAAAGGATAGGCAGCCTCATTTCCCCTCTGCATCATAGCACAAATCTGCTGTTGCAGTGAGACTTGTGTTTTAAGCATCACCTTTGTGACTCAGTTTGACTAAATCCAGATACTTTCTGTTCTAACTTCTCATAGCATCACCTTTCTCTCCTTTTAAAAAATTTTTAAAAATTACTAAGACACTTGCTCAAATGGTGATACAGATTTTCTTGAGTATATAAGCCTTATTTTTTTAGTTAAGTTTCAAGTTTATAAAAAGAAAATGCTTGATACTTTGTAGTACTTTTCTATCAGGCCAGAAATAAGTGCTTTTTTTTTTTTTTTTTTGCTCTTGATTGAGACTGGAAAGGTTATCAAGAGCCACAGAGGCCTCTAGCTTTTTCTCCTCTACCAGAGTGAGGAATGTCATCTTGACATTCCTGGGCATGAATCATGGAGAGAGAAAATAACAATTTAAGATAAGAAAGCAGTTAGGGTCAGAGCTCCAGAAACCCTGGATGGGGGCTGAAATCCATGAAGGAACCTACATCTGGCCATGGTCACCAGCCTGGAAAATTTAACGCTTAGGCATCTGCAAAATTATGCAGGCGTGTGAGTCATTCTGCCACTTTTCCAAAACACCAACGGAAGTCATATCTTTTTGTTTTGTTTTGTTTTGTTTTTGCTGTACGCGGGCCTCCCACTGCTGTGGCCTCTCCCGCTGCGGAGCACAGGCTCCGGACGCACAGGCTCAGCGGCCATGGCCCACGGGCCCAGCCGCTCCACGGCATGTGGGATCTTCCCGGACCGGGGCACGAACCAGCGTCCCCTGCCTCGGCAGGCAGGCTCGCAACCACTGCGCCACCAGGGAAGCCCCCTATAAGTGCTTTTTTTAAACTTAAATTGAGTATCTGCTATTTGTAAATTTCCTAAGAATTTGAAAACATTTTATTGTATAAAACATTCAGTTTTTAGGATTTATGTTTGAAATTTCCATATTTAGAATATTTCTAAAAGAATTGGTTATCTATAAGATCAGTTAATTACTTATCTTTATAGTAGTATTCAGATCTAAAATTTTGAAATCCAAATTTGTTATGACCTAATCTTTTGGTATCAGATGGCATTTCTGCAACATTGCACTAAACCTTACTCTCTTTCGTACTCATAAAAGAACTATTCCTGTTCTTGGAGTGCCAATATGAATTTTATTGATCAAACTATATCTTTAATATTTTATTGTGTTCTGTGTACCACACATCTGTACTTCAAAAAAGTTCTTTATATTGTTTTGTTAAACATCTAGGTTTGAGAACCATGGGTCTAGAATTGTGCTTTCTAGTACAGCAGCCACTAAATATAGGTGGCTATTTAAAGTTAAATAAAATTAAAAATTCATTTTCTCTGTCACACCAGCCACATTTTAGGTGCTCATTAGTCATGTGTACTTAATGGCTACTCTATTGGACAGCACAGATATGGATTATTACTACTATTGCAGAAAGTTCTACTGGATAACTCTGATCTAGAAAACTGTGACTCAAGGAAAGGTTGAAAGTTGAGAGGGGTTTAGTTTAGGAATAAGTTCCAGGGGATATGATTACTAGTTTAATTTATATGAAGAATTGTTTTCTGGAAGGTAGCGTAAACAGATTATAACAGCATTTGGATAGTACCACCCATCTCATAGTTACTATGACTAAATGAAATTTTATATACACACACATATGCATATACGTATATATATATAATATATACATACACTTTTTTTGGTGCAGTGATACATATATATATATATATTTTTTTTTTGGTACAGTGTCTGGTACATAATAGGCGGTAAAGTATTTAGCTCATCTCCAGAATGATCTCATGTGTTTTGTCTCTTAATCTCTAGAACAATGGCAACTTGGGGAGGTTCTACCCAGTGTGCACTAGATGGAGAAGGAGATGAAGATGGTTACCTTTCTGAAGCAGTTGTTCAGACAGATGAAGATGAGGAGGAGGAGGAGCAAGACGCTGGCTCCCATGATAGCTTTTCCGTGTGTCCTCCTAGCAGCACAAATCATAACTCTTATAATGTAAAGGAAACTAAAAATAGGTTAGCTTTTCCGTGTGTCCTCCTAGCATGCAAATCATAACTCCTATCATGTAAAGGAAACTAAAAATAGGTTAGCTTTTCTGTGTGTCCTCCTAGCCACGCAAATCATAACTCCTATAATATAAAGGAAACTAAAAATAGGTTAGTTTCGCTGTTTTAATTTTTTGCTTGATTTGAAGAGTCTCAGGTCTTTCTGACTCCAAGCAGTTCTTCAGTTCTCTAAACCAACTGTGTGTCCTACAATGTAATTTAATTCCACCTCTAACTACTTGGAGTCAGGGCAGAGCCCACAGGTTAAGAGGCTCAGTCCCACAAGAGTGCCTCACTTTATTTTTTATTTTTTATTTTTTTGCGGTACGCGGGCCTCTCACCGCTGTGGCCTCTTCCGTTGCGGAGCACAGGCTCCGACGCGCAGGCTCAGCGGCCATGGCTCACCGGCCCGGCTGCTCCGCGGCCCTGTTTTTCAACTGATTATTCACTTTTCTGTTTTCCCTACCAAAATGGAGGGAAACAACCTACAGATCTTAATCCTACCTCCCTGGACCACATGGCAAACAGCTCTGTCCTATGATTCAGGTGCTTTAAAACACTGACCACACCCTTTACTCTTTCAGTTCAGGTTAAGTACCCAAGTCTCTCAATTATTTTCCCTCCATGGATTCTCATCTTCATTTCCTGTGGATGCTCCGCGGCCTGTGGGATCTTCCCAGACCGGGGCACGAACCCGTGTCCCCTGCATTGGCAGGTGGACTCTCAACCACTGCGCCACCAGGGAAGCCCAAGTGCCTCACTTTAGATGCTGCTTTAAAGTCTCAAGTCTTCAGGGCACCCACACTTCTGTCTGACTTGGCTACATATTTGGCGGTTCCCACAGCCCCTCTTCAGGTTCCATAATTTGCTAAAACAACTCATAGAACTCTGGAAAATACTTCTGTTTACTGACTTCTTATGAAAGATACTACTCAAGAACAACTAAGTGAAAGAGATGTGCAGGGCCAGGGATGTGTTGGGGAGGGGCACAGAGCTTTTATACCCTCTCTGGGCACACCAGCCTCCCAGCACTTCACTGTGTTCATGACCCAGAAGGTGTCCTAACCACCTTATTGAGGAGTTGTTACGGAGCTTTCTTTACATAGGCAGAATTGACTAAATCACTGGCCATTGACGATGAAGCTCAATCTCCCTCCGTGAAAGTTGGGGGATGGGGCTAAAAGTTCCAACCCCCAACACCTGGTTGTTTTTTCTGGTGACTAGCCCTCATCATGAAGCTAACTAGGGCCTGACAAGAAGGAGCTCATTATGAATAACAAAAGACAGTCATCACTCAGGAGATGGCCAAGAGTTTTAGGAGCTCTGTGCTGGGAACCTGGGACAAAGACCAAATAAGATATTTATTGTATCACAAGAGTACTGTCATCGAGATAGATTCCAGCTAGATAAGATCAAGATTGATAAGCTTTGATCTTCACTCTTGTTTTGGGGAATTAAGCAAAAGTAAAAATCATAGATGGTGAAAAAGATCTATCAACAAAAATATTTACTACGTTTTTATTTATAACTGAAAAATGTTTCATGTGTAAAAGATGGTTAAGTAATTCCACTTGATGGAATGTTATGTGGCTAAGCTTAAAGCATGAAGAGTGGAAAAATGCTTGTGGTGTAATGACTATAACTATTTTCATTTTTTTTTAATGGCAAACTTTCCCTATTTTTTTTTTTTTTTTTTTTTGCGGTACGCGGGCCTCACTGTTGTGGCCTCTCCTGTCGCGGAGCACAGGCTCTGGACGCACAGGCTCAGCGGCCATGGCTCACGGGCCCAGCCGCTCCGTGGCATGTGGGATCCTCCTAGACTGGGGCACGAACCCGTGTCCCCTGCATCGGCAGGCGGACTCTCAACCACTGCGCCACCAGGGAAGCCCTCCCTATTTTTAATATTTATTTATTTGGTTGCACTGGGTCTTAATTGTGGCAGGTGGGCTCCTTAGTTGCAATACGTGGGCCCCTTAGTTGTGGCATGTGAACTCTTAGTTGCTGCATGCATGTGGGATCTAGTGATTGAACCAGGCCCCCTGCATTGGGAGCGTGGAGTCTTAACCACTGTGCCACCAGGGAAGTCCCATAACTGTTTTCATTTTGAAGAATACAGAATTATATAGACACTTCTCGGTAAAACATATGAAAAAAGATTCGAAAGGAGTGAAAAATGATATTGTACAAGACTAGAAATCCAGAATTTTTCTCATTCTATTTTCCATACATTTTAAGTCCTGTGAAGAGAATACAGGCGTATGGACCAGGGTATCAAGGTTTATTGCCAGATTTTAAAAACCAAATAATTACATAAGATGACCTAATGCTTTAAATCTTGTGTTAGGTGGAAGAACAATCGCCCTTTTTCAGCAGATGGAAATTATCGTCCTTTAGCCAGGACAAGACAACAAAATATCAGCATGCAGCGTCAGGAAAACCTTCGCTGGGTGTCAGAACTCTCTTATGTAGAAGAGAAAGAACAGTGGCAAGAACAAATCAATCAGCTAAAGAAGCAACTTGATTTCAGTGTCAATATTTGTCAGACTTTGATGCAAGACCAACAGGTAAAGTAGAATTTTTTTATCTTGTTTTTGAAGCAGTACACGTTTTTCTCATGTCGTCGGCAACTATTCCGAAAATTTTCTTTCCACAGACTCTGTCTTGTCTGCTACAAACTCTTCTCACGGGCCCTTACAGTGTTATGCCCAGCAATGTTGCATCTCCTCAAGTACACCTTATAATGCACCAGTTGAACCAGTGCTATACCCAGCTAACATGGCAACAGAATAATGTACAAAGGTAATCTGTTTCTTAGAAGTAGTGAGAGTGTATAGTAAGTGCTAAAACTGAGCAAGAGTTTTACAGTACCTTCTGGGAGAAAAGGGCATGAACCAAATATCATTTTCAAATATTCCGACACCTGGGAATTTTATAAGCAGAGATATTACTCAGTGTTCCTTTTTAATACCATGGACCTGACTTTAAAAAAAAAATTTTATAGTACTCAACTTTACACTTACCTTAGGTAGGTTGTATAGTGTGTAAATTATACTTCAGTAAAGCTGTAAACAACAATATAAACAATGAGTTTGTTGTAATTATGCCTACTATCTGTTAGAAGTGCTAATAAGCACAGTTCTTGTTGCAAAGGCTAAGTTACTGAACTAAGCATGCAGGACAAGCAGATATTTGTTGTAGTAAACATCAGAGCAGTCAGTTTGTTCCACATACTGTTGAATCATATCTTACGTATATTCTTTCTGGTTGTACTTTACATAGATGGTAATATAACTGATCTTTAAATTACTGACTCCTTAAATTTTTACAGGTTGAAGCAAATGCTAAATGAACTTATGCGCCAACAAAATCATCCAGAAAAACCTGGAAGCAAGGAAAGAGTCAGTAGTGCATCACACCCTCCTTCTCCCAGTTTATTTTGTCCTTTCAGCTTTCCAGCACAGCCTGTAAATCTGTTCAGCCTACCGGGGTTTACTAATTTTTCATCATTTGCACCAGGTAAGTGGCTGAAAACTTAAATGAAAATGAATAAATGCAGAGTGTTTGAGAATAATATTTGTCTATTGCATGGATTTTTATCAGTCTCTTTTGGAGTGGTAGGAAATGTTTGCAAAGAAAGCTATAAACTCTTTTCTACATTGATTTTTTTATAGTGAACGCTTAAACTGAATGTGGTTGCTAATGAAATTAAGTAAATTATGAATGATTGCTTAGTCTTTTACCTTTGCATTATTCAACAAGTATTTATCAAGGAGAAAGGGAATTAACCTGTCTACTGGCTGCTGTACATCGGGCACTGTAAAATATTAGGAGAGGAGAGGTGAATAAGGCAACGCTCTTGTAGAGGAGCTTTGTGTCTTAGTAGGGAGATATACCACTAGAGTAAAGGTGTTTGGTTTAGGCTTATATTTACTTTTACTTAGTTTAGGCTTTAATTCAGACTTTTTCTGTACCTGTCATGTGCCAGGCACTATATAAATGACTGGGATTCAAAGATGTTAAGCCTGATGCTTTAAGGAATTTAGAGTCTAGTGAAGAAGCTAAGAATGTTAATAAATGCTTAGTGCTTTGCCATGGGTGCTGTAGCAGTGGTGCAGATGAGGTGAATGACCTACTTTTCCTTGGGGCAAGAGATTATCAGCAAATCTCTTTTTTTCTAGAGAAAGTGATATTAAAGCTAAAGAATGAATATAATTTTTTTCCAGGGAGATTAGAAGGGAAAGGACTTTCTGATTAATGGAACCACTTAGAGTTACAAAGCAATGGAACAGTATATTACTTAGGGAATTTAGAGGTCATGAAGTATGGCTAGTGTTTAGGGCCATGACAGGGGAAGTGGTAGTTGATGTGGCTGGTGAGCAGTGGAGGCCTTTGTGCTGTGCAAAGAAGCTTAGACTTTCTGCCGCTTACTAGAGGGGCCATTGGAGGATTTTGAACAGAGGAATAGCAAGAGGTTTATATTTTTAAAAGATTACACTAGTGATAGTGTTGATTGAGATTGGAGGGAAGGTGCTAAGGGTATATAGATGGTGACTGGAAGGAATGTAATAGCAGGGAAGGAATGACAGCTTGACCTAAGGCATGGGCAGTAGCGGTAAAGAAAAAGGAGTAATTTTAAAGACATTTAAAGACATTCTGGAGGTAGAATGATCAGTTAGGTGAGGTGAGTCATGAAGGAGAGGAGTTGAAGGTGTTTGCCAGAGAATATAGGAAGAGGAAAAGGGTTGGGAGGGCTTTGTGAATATAAATTTCCACAGATAACAGCGTATTTTCTTAACAGGATTATAAAAGCAATGGCGTTAAACAACTTAACAAGGTTTTTAGTTCTTAGGTGTGGATTAATATTGGCAGCAGACTTTTAAAAAAATTAATTTATTGCCTGTATTGGGTCTCTGTTGCGGCTTGCAGGCTGTCTCTAGTTGTGGCGAGCGGGGGCTACTCTTTATTGCAGTGCGCAGGCTTCTCATTGTGGTGGCTTCTCTTGTGGTGCAGCACAGGCTCTAGGCATGCAGGCTTCAGTACTTTTGGCACACGGGCTCAGTAGTTGTGGCTCACGGGCTCTAGAGCGCAGACTCAGTAGTTGCAGCGCACGGGCTTAGTTGCTCCGCGGCATGTGGGATCTTCTCAGACCAGGGCTTGAACCTGTGTCCCCTGCATTGGCAGGCGGATTCTTAACCACTGCGCCTCCAGGGAAGTCCCAGCAGACGTTTTTTGAGTAGGCATTTAAGTAACAAATGTAAGAAATTGCACATGCAGTTCCTTTTTGTCATAATATGCCTTATACCCATGCCAACCCTGTACGAAGACTGTTTGCTCTTCACAGTTAATCTAGTTCAGTTTTGTGAAATCCTCCCTGATCCCCTTCTCCCACAAGTTGTAAGTAGCCGTTTGTAAATACCTCTCATACAGCACTATATATTAAGTGTGTGATTATATTTTACTTCCCACGTAGAGTGTAAAGAATCTAAGCTTTGGAGCCATGCAGACCCAAGATCTAACCTGCTCTTTCATTTACTAGGCGTTTGATCTCTAAACCTATTTTCTCACTAGTAAAATGAATATAATACCTATTTCACAGGGTTGTTTTGAGCATTAAAGGAAGTAGCATGTAACATGCCTACAGTGGAGTCTTGTACCCAGTAATACTCTGATAAATATCAAGCATTATTTTTGCTAACTTTTAGCTCTTAAGGGGTTGGGGATCAGTATTTATCTTTGAATCACCAATGCTGAAAACATAGCATACTGAGTTGTAAAACAGTGATTGAGTAAATGAGTGTTACTTTATTTTAATCACAAATTTCTCTTTTGGTGGATTTGAATGGCATATTTAATTAAAACTGTTTTTTAATTTCATTTTAAGGCTAAAGGTGCTTCTTTATTGTTGTCTTACCCATTGTTTTTATTTATTAGGTATGAATTTCAGCCCTTTATTTCCTTCTAATTTTGGAGATTTTTCTCAAAATATTTCTACACCCACTGAACAGCAACAGCCATTAGCCCAGAATCTTTCAGGGAAAACAGAATACATGGCTTTTCCAAAACCTTTTGAAAGTAGTTCTTCTGTTGGAGCAGAAAAACAAAGGTACTTGATTGTAAACATAATCCATTATTTGCTTAAACATCACTTTGTGATTACATCTAATTATCTGTAATTTGAGGATGTAATTAGGGAGGATGTTTGTGATTGTCTGACTTGATAGTGTTGGGAATATGAAGTTTTGACATCTTACCAGATGTCACTCAGGCATATACCTGCTGCTAACCCTTGTA